TGGACAAGCTAGAGATCAACCCCATTATAAGTCCATTTTAGAGGGGCCATCTATCAAACACACCTGGCACTGTTACTGGATGAGTTACTCAGAGCTCACGCTGCCCTCAGCTTCATAATAGGACTCTGAGTGAGAGACCTGCTAATTTGCCAGCAGCAACGCATGTGCCCCCATCCCCTGGAACGACACAACAATTATAACGCCACTTGGAGCCATTCATTTTAACTCACCCCAAGTGACCAACGTGGCTGATAACTTCTTCACTGGTAGGTCTGTGGTTATAGACCACGTGTGGTCAATAGGTGGACAATGGGCCAAATCTGGACTGCCAGATGCTTTTGAACAGACCCCGAAATCTTTTTATTTACTTATTATTATCATCAATATTATTATTTTTGTATTTTTTTCTCCGGAGTCTGGACCTTACCTATAACTTGACTGAAAAATGTGGACAAAAAGTAATTGACTCCCTGTTATAGACCATGCTTGAGGCTCATGTGTCATCTGGTCCTGCTGGACTGAGCATGTTCTTTTCATTGACAGAGCATCCTTTCGAGATGGACACAATTGCCGCACAAGTCTGTGATTCAGAGACGGTAAAAGAACCCCAAACTCCTCTCTTCCTCCGTGTATGGCCCCTACCACCATCATAGCTGAGCATGGCCATTAATGAGCGGGGTGAAGTGCGGCTATTCTCACTTGACAGACAACTGAGGCACAAGGAAATTCAGAGCCAGATTTTTTTAAAGGTCTTTAGATTCTTCAATATGCAGGTTGGCACTGAGTAGGGCTTTCAAGAGCGCCTAGGTGCCTAACTTCTCCTCCGTTTCTTTTGTTCTTACGCTGGAAAAAAGCCACATTTCACAGAATCACAGGGTTGGAAGGGACCTCAGGAGGTCATCTAGTCCAACCCCCTGCTCAAAGCAGGGCCAATCCCCAATTTTTGCCCCAGATCCCTAAATGGCCCCCTCAAGGATTGAACTCACAACCCTGGGTTTAGCAGGCCTATGCTCAAACCACTGAGCATTTGCCTGCACTCAGGGGCACTCATCATGTCAATATCACCCATGCCACTGCTGCTCTTGGGCTCCGGGAGCAGGAGGTGCTGTAAGGCTCTGTGTTCCGATCCTTCCCGACCAGTGCCCAATATTCAAACCAGGGGCTTTTGAAACCCTCACTAGGCACCTACCTGGATCTTCCAGTGCCTAAATAAATAACTTTAAAAATCTGGCCCTAAGTCACACAGGGAGTCGGTGGCAGAGCTGTCGGTGGCACCTTAAAGACGAACAGATGTATTTGGGCATAAGCTTTCGTGGGTAAAAAAACCCACTTCTTCATTCATTCACAAAAGCTTATGCCCAAATACATCTGTTCGTCTTTAAGGTGCCACCGGACTCCTCGTTGTTTTTGTGGATACAGACTAACATGGCTATCCCTCAGACGAACCCCAATGTTTTAAGTCCCCAGCCAGCAGTGAAACGTAAGACCACCCTGCTCTGCCAGGGAAGTGCTGTGTGACCTGGGGCATGTTACTTATCCTCTCTGGGCTTCTGCTTTCCCATCTGCAAAATGAAGAGAGCAGCACTGCCCTACCTCACAGGGGTGTTGTGAGGATAAATACACACTAACAGACTGTGAGACGCTCAAATACTGTGGCAATGGGGGCATCAGATTTGTACCCTGGATAAATAATCCACCATTTGTAATAGCAAAGTTTCTGCAGGTGAATGGGCTAAAGTCTAAAAGCAAGTTGTAGAAAGCACGGTGCTGGAATAGAAGAGCAAGCTCCCCTTCTCCTCCCCTCCAAAATACTTTGAAATCTTGAAATAGTTGGGTGTGTAAGTGACATGTGCCCTCAGGCATCTTGGACTTGCCTGGCCAGTGCTGGGCCGAGCACCTATTGACCTTGGCAGCTTTGCAGGAATTAGATTTTTGTTGTGAAAGAGCAAATGTTTCTTGAACAGCCCCATCACTGCAGGAAGCGCAAAGCAGACTTGTCTCCCTGGTGTCCGGGCCTTCTCTTCGTGCCTGGTTATTGCTTCAATAACGTTTGGTTTTGGCATTGCAAGAAAAACAGAACTCAGCATTAAAGGGACAGTGTCCAGTTAACAAAAATTACAAGCGGAATCTGCCCCTTGCAATGAAAGGCAATGGAGGAGACAAAAAAAAAAAAAAAAAGAACAAATGCCTGCAAAAGCTGGTTTCTGCTGGGCCTCACTCTGCTCTTACTTATTTGTGTAAAAGGGGAGCAATGCCAATGACTTCATCACAGGCACTCCTAGTTAGCAAGGCTAGAACCTAGACCAGAATCAGGCCCACAGAGGCTTGGTTAGTTTGAGTATTGAATAAAGAAAGCAGGTCAGGGTAAAATTTCCTTTCAAAAGCCCTGGGCCCATTTCTCCAGGGGCCTGCATAGTCAATAGCTGGCATTTTCAATGGATGCACCCATAGCCTATTAAATTCTAACTCCCACAGGTGCCTCCTGTGGCTCCTTTAACGTTTTTGCCCATCGTTTCCCTTATGCTCTGGGCAATAATGTGCTGTTGGCTGTTGTTCTGCATTCAGTTCACTGACAGACTCCACTGCCCTAGAGAAACTGGGCATTGTTAATGGCTCTCCTGCAGCAGATTTGATTAATCAGGAGGACTGAGAGACACCGTCCCCACCTCGCGTGTTACCAGACTCGGGCCCTGTTCTGCTCACAGGATCCCTGTTCATTTCAGTTACGCTGGTGTGAGTGAGCACAGAGCTCAGCAGCAGTTTAGGCCTTTGCATGCCTAGAGGCAGTACTGTGAGTAAAGGCCTGCGACACCAAACAGTGGTACTGTGCTCGCTGTCAGAGCAGGCTTGTTTGTGCATTAAGGGTCAAATGCGTCTGCGGTGCTGGGGGCAGTGGGGTCTGGGGCCTTCCTTTGCACTGAGTTTATACTAGCAGAACTCGAATTGGAATCTGGCCCTCAGACTACTTGATCCAAGGGAAAAAGAAACCCAACAGCATCTACACATTTCCTGTACATTTCTAATGCCTGCACTGTCCAAAAGGCTCTGCCCTTGTGGTCTGCCCTCTGTGGCAGGGATCCATTGGAGAAAGCTGTTTTGGAAGCTATTTGTGCAGAATTTTTCATTCGCCATGTTACGCAGAACATCCAGGGGGCTTTAATATACACGGAGTCCAGAGCCTTAAATGTGGAAGCACGAATCATTGAATGCAAGACAAGAGTAAAGCCAGATGGATTGTGCATCTAACCCTGTCTGCTTCCATGTAAGTCAATGGGATTTTGGCCACACACAGTCTGATTCATGTCCCATTTGCACCACTTTTACATGACTGTAACTCCATTGATTTTCAGTGGCGTTATCCCCTGACTTACACCAGAGTAACTAGAGCAGAATCAGACCCATGGATTTTAGCAGGAGCAGGATTGGGCTCTAAGAAATAGAAGTAGCAATTCTTGGACACGATACAAATCGAAAACCTAAGGAAGGGCTGTGTCTGTCTTGTGTGCATAGCATGTTAGGTGAATATTAATGATTCAAAAGTCATAATAAGGTAGGTGCCTCTGGATTTTTGGCTGACTTTGGCAAGTCACCCCTGCAAGGTGAGAAGGATAAAACAATATTTTCATTGCAGAGCGCTATCCACCAGTAATAAGATGTTCCCCGGTGGAAGCTGATAAATTATTGGTGATTGAGTTGGGGAACTGCTGGGGGGGTTAGGGATTTACACTGCTAAACTATATAAACAAAACGACATCAGCCAGAATCCAGTATCTACAAGTGCTGAATGCAAAGAGAGTCATAGAGGCACCTGAGAGATGATTACTCCATGAATCTAGGAAGAAGAAACTTTCTGTAAACTTCAGAATTTCTTTCTGTGCATATAAAATACCAAAACAATAAAAATTAGAAAAACAGCTGCATTGTACCAGCAACAGACAAATTGAGATTTCGGTCATTTCTGTTCAGAAACTCACAGCTGCCTTGCAATAACAATGATTATTTATAGCCTACTATGTGCAGAAATTAATTAAGAAAAGTGAATGATTATAATGAATGAATAAAATACAGTCACCACTAGGGGGAAGGCTGGAGCAGACCGCGAACTTCACCTTGCAATATAAGGTTTGGTATATTGTGTGTCACAATAGAACTAAGATAGGTATGTGTGTATTGCAGCTTGAGGAGCTAGGCACTGTACAAACACATGGTATGAGACAGCCCCTTCCCTGGGAAGCAAAATAGAGGCACAGAAAGCTGAAGTAACAGGCTCAAGGTCGTAGAACAGCTCATTGGCAGAAATAGAACCCAGGTCTGCTGACACCCAGTCTTGTGCCCTAGCTACTAGCCCCCTGTCTCCTTTCTGTGCTATTCTGAAGTGTGGACATCATGTGTCTTCAACAGAAAGCCCAACCTGACCAAGAAATTCCTTGATTAATGAACACTTTCTGGTAATTGTGCAAACAAATGCTTTCCTGTGATTACTCCTTGTCTCCTTTGCCAGAGACATGAATCCTGGCCTGGACTGGCTTCTAGTAAATCTCAGAAATGAAAGTGTTTGCCTCTCACATTCCACCTCACAACTGTCCATTTAATGTTATGCTAGTTTGAGGGTGCAGCCATAACATAACTCATAACACTTCCCATCATTGTGTGCTATGAATGTTTACAGACCCCCATGCTTGAGGTGGATACCAGTCTTAAGCCATACCAGGCATTCTGTGCTATCGATGTTTGGCACTGAAATATAATTCCACAATTAATTTATACACAAAGAAGTACTTTAGTCATTGCAATGATAATGAAATGGAGAGCAGTCCATTAGCAAAAATTGGTTGTCTAGAAACAGACAAATAATTTTCTTTTCAAGTTATCCGTATTAAGGGATATTAATCATCCCTTTTTAATTCCCCCCTCCCCCCGCTTTTGGTGTGTTTTAAGGCATGAGTTGGCAGATAGTGGGGCCAATTCTGCTCTCTCTTATGCCAGGGTAACATCACTGACATAATTAGAGTTGATTGGATTTTCACCAGCACTGTGGAACACAGAATTAGGACTACGGTGCTTATAAATTCCTTTTAGCGTCAGATTGTAAGAGCCTAGCTTTAGCAAAAAGAAAAATCAAGGTTAAATCCAGTTTATTTTGAATCAGTTAAAAATCCTAGCAACAGTTGAAAGTAAAGTGTAATTTATAAATGCAACTTTCATTCTTATCAAATTTACAACTGTATGCAGTTATGTTCGTTAATAACAATGTCCTTTAAACCACATTGTGAAAATCCGTTAGCAATAAATGCTTTAAAATGTACGCGAGGCTGTGACAGGTGATTTATTGAGGGCTCATACTGTTAAAACAATATACACAGCTTGAGCATATTTAGCGCAATTGAGCATGATTGAGAGCGCTCTATGATTAAACACAAACTATGCATATATTCATAAATGTACCACTTATACAGTGCTTTCTTCTTGGCTCTGATCACTTAGATTAGCTAGTTGTAACCCAAGCTACGGTACTTGGTCCCAACCTTCTTCCATAATAGCTCTGGTCCTGACCCACATGCTGTGGGCATAGGAGGCTGAAGGTCATTTCTAAACGCTGAGTCCTAGGGGGTATGTTACACCCCAAGACACTGGGCAGCTGTATTCTTTTTTTTTAAAAAAGATGTGTCTTCTTTATTGTTAATGAAAGGCAAAGCATGAGTCATGGATTAACTGGGGCAGTGGGAGTGTGTGAGAGTCAATCACAGCTGGTGAATGAATGATGCAGCAGTTCTGGGCTGTCTGAGGCGTTATGTTCTGCGCGGCAAATTAGAAGCGACTCTGCAGTGTTCTAAGAATGGATCATAAGTTCCTCCTTCAGTGACTGATCATCCCTCCTCCTATATCTGATCATTCCCCAAACCTATACAAACGCACAGACAGGCTGCTGCATGGATGCATAAGGCAGAGGTGTTATAGTTCGGAAGCTACTACCTAAAATGTAGCCCAATTATCTCCTGAGGGAAAACTCCTTAGTACCTTTGAGGTATACATTTAATACACCATAGCAGAATAGAGAGACAAGATGGGTGAGGTAGTATCTTTTATTGGCCCAAATTCTGTTGGTGAGAGAAACAAGCTTTTGAGCCACACAGAGCTCTTCTGCGGGTAGCTTGAAAGCTCGTCTCTCTCACCAACAGAAGTTGGGCCAATAAAAGATAGCACCTCACCCACCTTTTCTCTCTAATATCCAGGGACCAACATGGCTACACCAACACTGCAAACACAGAGCTGTACTGTAGCATGGCCAGCTCTCAGTGGTCCTTTGTTCCTACAGTGTGCTCAACTTATGCGAAGGAAAAGGTGGCAGAACCAATGTAGCAGTCTGCCTCTTCTGTAACTCGTAGGACTGATTACTTTCTGTCCCAGCTGAGACTGCATCTCTATAATTACTTAATTATATGGGCCATAGCACGGCTAGCTGGCAGCTACAGATGCTTACAGCTTAACAAGTAAAAAACGGGGTGCATATCCCAAAGAAAAGAACGGAGAGCATGTTTACATCCTGTGACGTCTTTGCTGAAACACTTATAATTTGCAGGCTTGTGCAGAATAAAATGCCTCCATCACTCGGGAGCAATGATCGATTACATGGGATGAAGACTAGTGAATTTCTTGTCAGTGCTTGAGATGGTTGGTTCAACTTGTCTATCCAGATGAAAACAGTCCAGACTAATGCTAGCAGGACAATACTTGGCATCTCTCAGGAACCATCACTCTTGGATGTAATGTAATGTTCCTCCCCCCACTTCATTTTCTCTCTTTCTCAGTTACTGCTGTGGAGGAAATGGGTTACATATGGGAGGTCCAGGGAAGAGGACTGGGGATGGACCATGGGAAAGGCAAGAGAGGCCTATAGGAAAGGAAAAGAGTTCGGATAGCCCTGGGATAGGTGGAGAGAAACGGGGAATGAAGGTGAGATTGGGGCCCTAAAATTTAATCTCTTTGGGAGGATGAGGGAGAGAGAGAGACACTAAGAAATGCTTTTACAAGGAGACACCTACAAGACAAAACAAAGGGTAAAGAAATGAAAATAAATCTATGCAGAGAGAAATGTGAAGGAAAAGGGCTAACCTGTAAGGGAGAAAATGAGCATGAGTAGGAGAAATAAGGAACAAGGGAGAGCACGGAGAACAACAAAGAACATCTACGAGGAGAGGCATAGAAGGTGGAGAATGTTGGGGGGAGGGGAATACAAGGAGAGGGAAGGGAAATTAGGCAGAATATTGTGGGAAAATATAAGGAAAGGGAGCCAACAAAAAATGGACACATGCCAGGGCCAGATCCCCAACAGGTGTAAATGGGCATAGCTCCGTTGAAGTCAGTAGGTGTAAAAGGGTATGACTCCACTGATGTTAATTGGGTCAGATCCCTACCTGGTGTTAATGGGTATAAATGCACTTAAGTCAATGGAGTTACACTCATTTTGCACCAGGTGAGGGAGGATTTTCAAATTGTATTGAAAATAACAAGTCCGTAAGTAGTGGCCTGGTTTTCAAAGGTCCTGAGCGACTCCTGCTCTTACAGATGTTCCAGGCATCTGCAGGGGCGTACAGTCTCTGAAAATCAGCCCAGAGCTCCATTTTATGCAACTTGGGAAGAGCTGGCACTTTTTGCATAGCCATGCCTCGTCTTTCTCGTTTTCTCTCTCTTTCCTATTGAGAGCAATGGTAGAAGGAAAGACCAACCCAATCCATGGCAGTTTCAGCTGCTAGTCCAGTGAAACTGTCACCCATTGGCTGCTTTCCAGACATCAGAGGTGCAGTTTGTTTTGCTTTCTCTAATGGGCTGGTAAGGTACTCGATTTACATGTCTAAGTAAGACTTGAGGCATCCGTTCTGCTAGTTGAAGTGAAGTGTTTGGCTTTTTGGCAAGACTTGTTTGGCTTGGCTCTTAGCACTCATTCAGTTATTAGAGTAAGCAATAAAAATGCATTGCATATTAGAGTCTATATTAAAACAACATGGAGCATGCAACACAAACCAAACAAAGCAAGGGGTTTCGTTGTTCAGAATTCCATTCTATCCTTTGCTCATTAAGTTGTACTTCAGTTTTATGGAACCAGCATTACAAGCTTTGGATGGATGAGCTTGTGGTTAGGGCAAAGTCCTCAGGACCCCAATACCTGGATTCTATTCTTGGCTCCTTCCACTGATTTGCCGCGTGGTTGCTTGGCCCAAGGTAGGGATGGACTTTGAGTATGACATGAGATTTCTTTTCAGAGTTGCTGAATGCCCACAACTAACTTCTGAGTATTTCTTACAATCTGGCCCAAGCTTTCAAAAAGACCTAAAAACTCTTTGTATCTCCATTTCCCCACTTATGTCAGTATTATATTATCCCCATCTCACATGGATGTAGGGAGGATTAATTCATTAATGTTTGCAGAGCTCTCTGAAATCTGCCAAGGAATAATGCTATAGAAGCATAAAGCATCATAATTATTTCACCAACCTGTGCAATATCATCTGCAGGCACCATCACAAGTCCACAGACATGTAAATAGCGAGTTAATAGATAAGGAGCCAGAAGTGGTGCTCAAGAACGCATAGCAGAGCTCCTGGATTTTGTAGAAGCAATAAAATTTGGTGGTGATGTGCACTGCGAATGACCTCCTCTGTGCAGCTCTTTATAACAGATCCTACCAGGGAGAGTAGATGAATTCAGGATCAAGTGGCACAGTGAACTCTGAATTGCCCATCCTCTTTTCTTTAATGTCAAAATCTTAGCTCCCCTTCCTGGTGTGTGTTTGTGCATGCTATCCTCTGCTCCAGTCTCCAGGTTAGAGAGTGACACGTTGGAGGTGGAGGAGTTCAGAGCTTTGAGTTATTTTGACATCATTTTGTCCAAACTAATGTATCTTAAAAGTAGCTCAAGCTGGTTTACAGCATAAATCAAAACCTACAAAACATTTCCACGAGAACCACTAATGTGGCACATATCTCAGCAGTGGAGATTTCTTAAATCAAGTTATTTTTATGGCTTCTGTAGTGCTGTATGCGTACACAGGACAAGAGGCAAACTGCCATAAAGATCTAAAGCTGAAAAGCAGGAGCATGTTCTTATCCTACAATATAGAACAGTGGGTGGGTTTTAGAGCTGGAATAAATTCGTGGCTCTCTCGCCTTTCTACCTCTGGTTTTTTTGGCATGCATGCTGTCTACTCTTCAGAGCCATTGACAATATCGTGTATGGGATAGGGAAGGAGATAAGTAACGTATAGTAAAGGAGGACGAGTAATGACCACAGCTGGCACCTTTGTTGGCAGTCTAGGCCAAAGCTAAGAATAGAATGGCTATAGACACTAAATTTAGGACTTCAAGGTCAAGCCTTGATAGATTACTTCACCTGAGTAATGTACTTTGATACCTGTGTATCCATTTTAACGAGGTACACTTCAGTTCTTCCACTGCTTGCTAACATTTTCATCTGGGAAGTATGGTTTCACCAGCCACTTTCTTTGAAAAGCCAAGTCCTATTGCTCATGATAACCTTTCTTTAACCTGGCTACCCAGTCATACCACTAATAATTAGTCCATTGGCTAAGTATTCAGATTCACAGGACTTGGCTTTATCATGTAGCTCTGTAACATAATGGTCAATGGTCTCACCTGACAACTGGCTTTTTCGGAAATATTTCTTCTCTAAGCATCATATTTGTGTGGATCAAAGTATTCTTTGAATTTCTGCCTGGCTTTGTCGAGCAATATGTGGGCCTTCCATGCTCTGCTGGGATGGATAGTACTGCAGCTCTTCAGAGCATCTGAACAGCCACATCTTTGCATTTCTTCTGTATCAGGGCATCTGAAAACCACAAGATATATGGTGGATGGTGAGCTGTGATTTTTTTCACCACTAAACTCCGTTTGTTTTGTTACTCCTTTTCCCACTCACCTCCACCCGTTTGGCCCATTGTGTCCATCTCTTGGATCCTGGCTGACACCTAGCTCTTTATGATAAACACTGTCTTTGTTGTTTGTCTGTACAGCACAGTGGGGTCCTGATCCTTGTTTGGGGTCCCTAATCAGTACCATGGTATAAATAACAAAAGAAGAATGAGACACAGCAGTGACATGTAAAACTCATAGAAAGTGGGAAGTATTTTGGAGAATGGAACATAACCCCACTTGCTCCGAAACAAACAAAGCCAATGCAATGGGTGTCCTTTAGCTCTTTCATTGTTACAATTCAGAGAAGCAACTTTAGGAAAGCCGGGTAAATTACAAGAACCGGATCACTGGCTTGAACAAGGTCAGAATGTTCCTTTGATCACTCTGTGCGCGCACGCACATGTGTGCAAACTAAGTCACTATTTAATAGCAGACCTCACAGAGAGGAATGAATTTATGTATTCATGACCTGTAACAAGTATAGCGATTGTTTACTATATTCTGAGAGATCCAGAAGGAGCTATAATGTGATAATTATAAGGAAACCTTCCTAAATATATATTTCTGATGCATCAGCAAAAGCCCAGTAGGTCCCTCCAGCTGGCTTGGGAACATGTGAGTTAATCTCAAGCTTCAGATCATGCCATGCATTACAGATTGTGCAGCTATGCAGACTCCAGACAGGGAGGATGACTTGCAATTGTGAGGAGAAGGGGGAAAAGGAAGCAAAGAAGCAGGAACAAAACTACTTCCACAGTGCCTTTCTCAAGCATTAATTAACTTACTATTTCTGTGAGGTAAATACGTAGTACGCCCATCTTCCAGATGGTTAAACTGAGGCACAGAGAGGATAAGGTAAATATTATGTCACTAATTCAGGATGTATCAATTTTTGGGTCCCCAATTTGAGGCAGGTTGGGCCCAATTTGCAGAATGCTCAGCATCCACAGCTCTCCTGGGATGAAATTATTATTATTGTTCTATTCATTTGCACTAAAGTAGCATCCAGAGGTCCTAGCAAGGCTCAGGACCCCATTGTGCTAGTTGCCAAACAAACATTTACTGCCTCAGTTTCCCCATCTGTAAAAAGGGCAACCTCACAGGCGTGTTAATGTTTTGCAAAGCACTTTTGGATCCTTGAATGAAGGCCTCTATAGAAGCATAAATGGTAATTTATTGCCTCAGTATGAAAAAAAAAAAAGTGTGTGTGTGTTTGACAATCAGCAGCCTGTTTATACTCCTATGTCTCATAGACATCTTGCTAAAAGGAGCTCCAGCACTGTTAGCTGATGGATTTTGGCACAGCATGTCCAGTTAGCCAGGCTCACCAGCCTCTTCTATTACACACAGAGTTTCTGTGTAACTTTGTAGGCTGTGTTTGATTTGCCTGAACTTAAACAGTAACCGCTGATTGATTGGCTTCCAAAAATACCCACCAGCCATGTTTGACGTCCAGAAAGCTCTCGCCGATTTGGATGGGGACCTCTGAGTTGGAAAGAGGCTGGAAAGATAGACATCTGCCATCTGGTCTCTTCTGTTCCTTCTCTCCCATCTGCTTTCTGACTCTGTTGCGTTAGTGGGATCTGGCAGAGACAGTCACAACTGGGGATAGCTTTGCACTGAAGCAAATTCTATGCTCCCTTCATGCTAGTCAGCACGAGTTACCATGGAGCTGCTAGTGAACAGCATTACAATGGCTCATAGATGCAGCGCTACAGTTAACATTCCCTCTTCGAACACTATTTATAAACCCTCTGCCAGGCCGAATTGTTCAACATTATTGATTACCTGGATTAATCTCTAAAGGACTGACTCAGGCAAAACTCCTCCAGACCTCAGTCAGGATTCAAGGCCTCAGGGCTGAGCTCACACACTGCGCATCCATGGTTCCCTGGTTTCACTAGGAGTTGGAGGTGCTTTGGCACAACTCAGGATCAGGCCCCATGGACCTGATCCAAAGCCCACTGAAATAAATGGAGAGATACATGCAGACTTCCATGGGCATTGGATCGACCTAGAAGGGTACACTGTTCCAAGAGGCAGGCGTGAGTAATGGGAGCCATAATCCCCTCTGTAGCTCAGGAGAAAGCTGCAGATGTTGTAAACTGGGCATGGTGACCATGGCCCGGAATGAAGCAAGAAAAGAAAAGCGTTCGGATCCTCTTTGACAGGGGTGGGCTTTGGAATGTAATTGTTACTCAGTGAATTAGAAATACCCACTATTTTGTTGTTTCATTGGAACAGGTTAACCAGGAACTGACTTCAAAAAACCAGGAAACCAGTTGAGAAAAGAAAAGAAATGAAAAGAAAAAAGAAAAGCATGACTTGGAGTTTTTGGGTTTTGTAGTGGCTTAAATTTTGAAATCTGTTGCCTCTTCTTTCACCTGGCGAAGGATATTTTAGGTATTAGGTGCCAGGGACTTCTCAATGTAAAGCAAAATGTTTAACATCAGTTAATATTAAATCCTGTAAATTTAGAAAATTGTAGCCAATCTATTCTAGACACCACCCATTCTCTTGCCTATATATCCCAGACAGGGATTACCAATTTATTGAGACATTGAAGTTGTACTGTATGTCAGAATTGACACCTTGGTCCTGCAGGCTTTTAGGGGATATTAGACTGAAAGAGAGTTTAAATAACGAGGAACACTACAGGCAGGTATCTAACAATTTTGGTCATTCCCTGGCACCTTGAGCCAACAGATGGCCAAGCAGAGTTCAGTCTAGATAATATACAAAATGGATGTTACCTTATTAATGAAAGCATCTCAACACAGCAGGATCTTTTTACGATGATGCATTTTAGTTGAGTTAAACCTAGATAACATACCCAATATGGTTCTCTCTGAGAGTACGTCTTCACTGCAGTTATCTCAGGCTCTTACACAGGTACTGCCTTGGTTCCTCTCCACATACACAAACTTCTGACCTAATTTCAGGGGTGCTTTCAACCTGCAATAGCTGGAATGGCTTCGGATGGGGGTTAGAGATTCTGCTTTCACTTGGGCTGGTAACCCACCCACTTATGCAGTGAGGTTGCAGGCTAAATCACATGACTGCTGCTAGTCCTCAAGTACCGGCCCACAATTTCCCCCATGTGCCCAGAAGGACAGACAGGTTCTCCCATAATTTTCTGGGGAAAAATCATAGACTGGCTGAGCACAGAAACCCATGGGATATGCTCCCACAAATGCTGACCAGAGGATCTGGCCACTCTGTAGAAGACTGGGAAATGGGACTTGTTCCTGGATATGGCTCAACAGTGTCATTAGCCCTGGAGGATCAGTGCAGCCGGGCGCTTTGAATCTTAATTTGACAGTTTGTACTTACTGGCAGTTGTCAACACAATAGTGGCCATAATTAGTACCCAGTGGATGTAAAATGCTACAGCATGTTCCAAAGCCACTGCTCTCTTTGCACAGGTGTGAATGACTCCACAGCCAATCAAGCCTGTGTTGTTGTTGGGGCTTTTTAATGGGTAATTTAGAATAACCCAACCTGAAACCTTAAGAACAGAATTTCCTTTCATTGTCTTAAATGGAATTCACCTTGAGAACTGGTGAGAACATAGCAGGAGTGTTGCTGTAAGTATGCGGTGTGTCACAGTGGGAAACTGCATGGAATTCTACATTTCTACCATGTATATTTGTATTGTGGTAGCACCTAGGAGCCTCAGGCTGTCATTGTGCAAGGCGCTGTACAAACACAAAACAAAAGACAGTCCTTGCCCCAAAGAGTTTATCTTTAGCCTATTGAAATGCTCATAGAAATCAAATTCATCTTGTACTTGACGACCTCTTCCATTGTCCGTAAAATGGCCTCCAAATATTGACTACTGCTGTGCTTTTATCCACATTCCCTTTTTTTCTCCACAACTTAGTTTCTGGGGGGAGGTTGTGCCTTAAGCCTGGAGACTAGGCTATCTGCTTATCAATCCTATCGTACTGCCACTTTCACTGAGATGCCATTGCCAGAGGCCATTCTAGCTCCCTGGCAATGTTCTTCTGCTTCCTAAGTTGTAATTCTACTGAGGCCTGGTAACCTGGCCACTTTAATACTTTTAATTACCCAACTGTCTGCTTTGGTTAAACATAAAACCTTTTCATATTCTTCCCCCGCTCCCTTTACACACACAGGAAAATATCATGCTTCCCAGGCTTCAATACAGTATGCAACCTTCAGTTTCTTTTCCTTAATTATCAAGGCAAGGAAATCAAGTTTTCAGCAATTTCTCCCAATTCACATCCCTCTGAGGGCCCCAGTGTCTGCTTGCCTGATCGTCAGCCTTTAAAAAGATTTACTATGTATATGCTGCTTTATATCCTTCCTCTGCTTTTGATTTACCATTTTGGTATCCTTATCACTCTGTAACACTTCCTACGTGTCTGTCTTTATAGCTGTTCGCTTTCCCTCATTGAAACTGCCAAGAGCATTTCCTTAGCTGCAGTGGGTGACATTCAACCCAGCACACATCTCCTGCAGAAGGCCTATGCCCAAGAGAGCTTCAGTGGGACATAAATGGCTCCTTGCGCTGGCCCAGAGCACAGGGGTGACATTAATCCCCCTGTCAACTTCCTTATAGAGCCTCAGACCTTTTAGGGCTCTTTAAATTCCTGTCCATCTGTCTTGCAGAAAATCTTTGCACCAACAAATGGTTTTGAGGAAATGTCACATTTCTCCTCTGCACCTCCCTCTGCCAGGCAACTGCCCCAACTCTCAATCCATCGCAGTGGAGATGGGACTGAAACTGCAAAACTGGCATCTTGATATCAACCCTTTGCCCCAGTATCGGTGAGATACTGACCCCAAACCTGGGAACAGAACAATTAGGAGATTGAATTAACTGATTTCAGAGTAACAGCCTTGTTAATCTGTATTCGCAAAAAGAAAAGGAGTACTTGTGGCACCTTAGAGACTAACCAATTTATTTGAGCATGAGCTTTCGTGAGCTATAGCTCACTTCATCGGATGAATACCATGGAAACTGCAGAAGACATTATATACACACAGAGACCATGAAACAATACCTCCTCCCACCCCACTGTCCTGCTGGTAATAGCTTATCTAAAGTGATCATCAAGTTGGGCCATTTCCAGCCCAAATCCAGGTTTTCTCACCCTCCGCACCCCCCCCCCCACAAACTCACTCTCCTGCTGGTAATAGCCCATCCAAAGTGACCACTCTCTTCACAATGTGTATGATAATCAAGGTGGGCCATTTCCTGCACAAATCCAGGTTCTCTCACTCCCTCACCCCCCTCCAAAAACCACACACACAAACTCACTCTCCTGCTGGTAATAGCTTATCCAAAGTGACCACTCTCCCTACAATGTGCATGATAATCAAGGTGGGCCATTTCCAGCACAAATCCAGGTTTTCTCACCCCCCCACCCCCATACACACACAAACTCACTCTCCTGCTGGTAATGGGGTGTGTGGGGGGGGTGTTTGGAAAGCCTGGGTTTGTGCTGGAAATGGCCCACCTTGATTATCATACACATTGTAGGGAGAGTGGTCACTTTGGATGAGCTATTACCAGCAGGAGAGTGAGTTTGTGTGTGTGTGTGGGGGGGTGGAGGGTGAGAAAACCTGGATTTGTGCTGGAAATGGCCCAACTTGATGGTCACTGTAGATAAGCTATTACCAGCAGGACAGTGGGGTGGGAGGAGGTATTGTTTCATGGTCTCTGTGTGTATATAATGTCTTCTGCAGCTTCCACGGTATGCATCCGATGAAGTGAGCTGTAGCTCACGAAAGCTCATGCTCAAATAAATTGGTTAGTCTCTAAGGTGCCACAAGTACTGAATTAACTGAGAAATTCAAAATCATGCCCTGGCGAAGGGGCATGGGGAAAAGAGGGTCTGTCCCTGGCTACCTGGGAGCCATCGCTACACGGGGTTGGAAGAACACAAAGATGGGCTAAAGCTACCACTGAAGCCCCGCCCCTTATCTGTACCAAATGGTCTTTAACCACAGCTAAGGATCTTGTCTGTGATCTTTTAACCAAGCCTTTGAAGTTCTTTTCAGACTTGTTCTCCGAGCCCTAAGTGTTCCCCTCTGTAGGGATTAAATTTGGTAGTAAATTATCACATGGATGTTTATGATCACAAGTACACCTCTTCCAAGAAGGATTTCACAGTCAATTGAGTCACATTATTCTTTTCAGTCTGCACTGAAATCCAAGCTTCCTGGGCAACTGAAAGCCCATGGGTTATGATTTCGGGTTATTAAAAACAGGTATAAAATGCAGATCATCCCCAATTGTACACAGACGCTATCACAACGAGCCAGGCAGGGCACGAAATGGCTTTGACTGAATCCCTTGGATACAGCGAAACGTTCTTAAAAATCTTACGCCTTCGGAAGAGGAGAACAATGAGAGCTGATCATGTATGTGGCCAAGACCTTAGGCCAACTGCTGTAAAATGCTACAGGGCCCCAGATTAAATCAATTCTCTACAAATTAGGCACTGACATTTCCCAATGTAAAACCTGGTTCCCTGGAGAGGAAATCTCTGTTACCAGGGTAAATTAATAGAGCACTGGATACAACCATTATTCAAGCATGCAAGATACTAGG